CTTTGAACATAGGCCACCAGATGATCATCGTTCCATTTCACAACAACACAAGCGGAAACGGATGATTGGAGCAAACATTGTTCGATTTCTCCCAATTCAATACGCTGTCCATGTAGTTTGACTTGATGATCTTTTCGACCCTTATAATGAAGAAGGCCATTTTTATCCATTCGAACAAGATCACCTGTTCGATAAAACAGTTCATTGTTGATCTCCAACAACATTTTCGCATTCAAATCATCACGTTCAAGATAGCCCTCAAAGACTCCAACTCCTCCAACAAGCAATTGGCCTTCCTGACTAATGGCAACATGTTGTAAATATTCATCGAGTATAAGACATTCGTAATTATTTGTTGATATACCGATTGGAATGGTTTCAGTATCTGTTATTGGATTAATCTGATAATATGTACAGATTACTGTCTCCGCTGGACCATACACATTCCATAGGGTGCATTTTTCTGTCACATAACTCACTAACAATTTAATTAGATTTGGATTACAAGGCTCTCCTGAGAAAGAAAAAGAAGATATATTATTAGCAAGAATGTATTGTACAAGCATGTTTAACTAATTTTTTCTCATTTTTGTAAGACTTATCGTATTCCTATCGAACATTAGTTTGATCTAGTTTACATACGGTTCAATAGAATATGTATTGCTGAATCACAATAGTTAATTTTGATTCGGTTCGTTTTGTATCTAATTGAAAAATTTTACTGATTCCAAAGAAATAGAATATAAAAGTTTTGCATATCACGAGGAGATCAATTTTTTCGCCTCGTCCTTAGATACAGTATGAAGGGCTCATTTCTCTATTTATTTGCATATGCAGAGTATTGTTTCTTTATCAATATGGACCGATTCTGTCGACTTTATTATCCTTCTGCAATAGAAATCCGGTGAATTTCCACCAAATGGCGTTTGAAGAGTTATTAGCAATCTTTACGAATTAATTATACTGTGGGTAAAGAATCGGTCGCTACCATCTACAAACGAGTAGGTAAAGCTTTCACTTCTCTATTCAATAATCGGTGTTCCTGTCGATAGAGCTGGAGTGTGCACAAGAAATTTGAATAATAACGGGTGGGGCAAAAGTTTTGCATTAATTTTGCTTTTGGTATAACTTGCCAATGGAAAGTTATAGCGATCTGAATTTTTTTGTTAAAAAGAGTAAAGTCTCTAGTGCAGAAATACATAAAAGAAATTAAGTGTAAAAGTTTCTGAAAGACCAGAAAAGGTTTTGAGCATTGGAGAGTGAAAAACGCTTTCGCAGCGTTTTTGACTGAGAAAAACTCTTATATGATTTGAACGCGCAAAATTTAATTTTTTCTACTCCGAACCTTTTTACACAAGAACAGAGGTATTATCTTTATATACGAAAAGAAAATTTATGGGCCTTTTGCAAAGACCGGCGTCATCGATTTATAGGAACCCATGAAATACAGATCTTGCACGTCTGGCAAGGCGATTTCGAAAATTTAACCCTATGACGTTTTTTGTGGGTTCAGCAGCGGTCACCGCACTTGTTTTTCTTGTTTCTGTACAAATAGCTCTACTGTTTGTGATGATCTTTTTTCTAATTGCTAGTCTATTGACGGTGGATAGGTTCCACATGAAACGTCTTTCATAGCCTTTGCTCAGTAAAAGGTAAGTGGTGGGCTCTGTTAGGCCCCAATACAGCGCTCTTGTTTAAACTGCTCTCTGTGTTTTGCGATTCCATTTCGATATGATTCGTTACTCTGTTGCTTCCAATGAGTGCCAGTCTTCATATCGTGTTCATCGCATGCGTCTATCGACAAAAACTCCTTGAAAGTGTTTGTCGACCACAAGATATATTTCATCTTCGTTTTTGATTACTTATGAATGTTGGACTCATGGAGAAATCTTCTCTAGAAGAGGCTGACACTATTTCAGTTTTTCAGATGAGAACGATGATAGGCGGCACGAGTCGGAAGCGAACCCGTGAAATCTCACCAACCAGCACTGGCACCGATCTCGACAGTATCATCTCCGCCCAACAGCGATGATGGGGATGACGAAGAAATTGTTCATCCCAATAGCGAGTCTGAATCCCTGAAGAAGAGTGGTATTGTTTGGACAACACAACCGAGGTCAGCTCATGGTCTTTTTCAAACAATAAATGTATTTAAATAGAAAACGGATGAAGCTACTTCAGTGGGAAAGATTACCTACACTGAAAAAAATAAGGTATTCTACCAAATCCATCAAAGAGGTTTCGTAGGTGTTCAAAGCTTCCAAATGTGTCGGCATGTTGAAAAAAATAGTTTTCAAAAATCTACGAAACCAAAAAGGATCGGTCGGCGGGCACACGTTCCGAACCATCGTCTCGAAACCATTTTAAGTTTCGCACGGTCCCAATAAAGGTTCGCGAGAAAAAAAGGAACCTAAAGGTTTCTCACGATGATTTTGTACGAATCCATTAAGGTTTCGTATTCTGTGACGAAACTTAAAAAGGTTCCGTGGTGAGGGTTCGGAGTGTGTGCCCGCCGACCGATCCTTTTTTGGTTTCGTAGATTTTTTAAAACCATTTTTCTGAACATGTCGACACATTTGGAAGCTTTGGACACCTACGAAACCTCTTTGATGGGTTTGGTAGAATACCTTATTTTTTTTCAGTGTATATGTTAAAACTTGAATATCATCAGCACTGCTCGACATACATGTACATAAGGTGTCTACCCTTTCACACGTTAGGAAGAGTAAAAGGCATAGTATTTCAGAAGATCTCAGACTGAATATCGTTGATTCATCGATGTTTAGTATTGCTAGAAGTGAAATGTAACTTTTGCACAGCAAATCAAACGTGGGCCCGGATAGACCCACATAAAGCTTTTGTGCAAAAGAAACAAACCGTCGTCTGAAGGTTAACCACAATTCCCGTAACAAAACTATAGAAGTTGTGTGTTCTATATGTGAAAACAACACTAGAGTCTACTATCCAATGATCCTATTTCTAATAAGATGCACTGTTTCCGTCAGACACAGTGGCGGATCAAGGAAGTTTCGAAGGAGGGTACGGATTACCCAATGAAAAACAATTATTGATATTGTCTACCGCAGACTTTGAAATATATTTATTAGCAACTATATATTTATGTAGTAGGCCATTTGTTGATTCAGGCCATTATAAGACTCAGTTTCGACTGATTCTAAAGCTCGAATTTGACCCTCAAGATAATTTCAGATTCCAATTTGTGTATTTAAAAACGTCAACCAATTGGATATACTTCGTACCTAAACTGTTGCATGTTGGGCGAAATTATCTACTTAAAAGTTATAAGAAATCTTATAGATGAATCTAGCTTTCGCAGAAAAATCACAGTAACTATACAAGGAGACAGTTTTCATCAGAATGCAATAATTTGCGCAAGAAACACACCCATATGACTGTAGTATTTGAGTATGCAAAGCGAAATCGAACATATTTTCAGCGTGAATACTGATTCTTCATCTCAGATTTTGAGCCAATCCTAGAGTGGTCTACGACATTTACATAAGTCATCAAGTATTAGTAGAGCCCAACGGACACAAGTCTTGAAATTTTTCATCGGCTAGATCCCATAATATTCAAAACATGAATTTACCTTTTTTACTAATCTTTTATAACGATGAAATAATTGCTAGTATGGATAAGTCCGAACTATGTATAGTACAGGTTTTTCCTTATCCATGTGGTATACAGTATCATCGCTTATGGCGAAACTCTCTAGCACACACACATATATAAATATATGTACCTGCGTCTATCTCGTTCTCCTTTGTATTTCATATACTACGCGTCATCTAGTTTCTTTCTCCACATCTTTTCTCTAAGCATGTGTAATCCTCTATCGCTATAACTTTTAGAATAAGGAATTGAACACTCCTTGTCATCAAACTTCTTGGAAAGAAAAAGAGCATACTTGATGTATAATTTTCAGTTTTCAAAGGGGCGTGCGGTCGCACCCGCCGCACTCCCCCTGTATCTGGCACTGGTCAGACAGACAGTCAATTGTTTGTCTGCTATATGGAAGATCTCCATTGAAACAACTTTTAATTTTTTTCAATTCGCTTTTCATCATACTCTCATCTGATATATCGAATAATTTAGTATCAAACAAACGCCCTCGTTGTACTGGCCAATTGTATATATACACCGGTCGAAAGGCTAGAACAGTCTAAAAAAAGGAGCTCTACCGAATCTGTATCGAAGGGAAGATCCTTTGGGGTTCCATATCGGTTTGCCGAACTAAAAAAAGATTGGCCCACAATTTATCGAACATTTTTCGGTTCAGTAAATCGGTATGAGAAGCTCCAAAGGCTGTTCCCCTCGACACAGATTCGGTAGGGCTCCTATTTTTTTTAGAGCGAAGGTGGGCGATAAAATAGCTGAAACAATATTTTTTTAATATAATAAAGTGACAAAAAGCTGCGGAAGCATTTCTCACTCTCCAATGCTTAAAACCTTTTCCGGTCTTTCAGAAACTTTTACACTTAATTTCTTTTATGTATTTCTGCACTAGAGACTTTACTCTTTTTA